GTGTATATATATCTACCATAATATTCCATTTTATTTACATATAATGTGGTATATATATGTATATATATCTACCATAATATTCCATTATATATATATATATATATATATATATATATATATATATATATATATATCTCAGAAGAGACAAATACCCACCATTTGCTTCGATGTGCATGGAACTGGAGGGTATTATGCTGAGTGAAATAAGTCAATTGGAGGAGGACAATCATCAAATGGTTTCACTCATACAGGAAATATAGGAAGTAATGAAAGAGACTATAAGGGAAAGGAGGGGAACTGAGTGGGAAAAATTAGAGAGGGAGATAAACCACAAGAGATTCCTAACTCTGGGAAACAAAGGGTTGTGGAAGGAAAGGTAGGGTGGGGGGTTGGGGTGAGTGGGTGATAGGCGATGAGGAGGGCACTTGATGGGATGAGCACTGAGTGTTACGCTGTATGTTAGCAAATTGAATTTAAATTTAAAAAATGTAAAAAATTTAAAAAGAAAAATTCTGGGGGTAAATGGGAGAGACAGTGATTTACCCATCTCAGAACATGGCCTGGAGAGGCAGGGATCATGGAGAGATCCCTCCAGGAACAAAGGAGCTGGCAGGCACCATTTCCCTCCACCACACCCCAGCATAAACACACAGCCACCAGCAGAAACCAGTGCAACAGTGACACTTGCTACCTAACTTGCTTACACCAAACCCCTGACCCTCCCCACGCCCCTACACACACACACTCCACTTCAGGGAATCTGCCCCTTCCAGTCAAGCTCGCCTCAGTGGGGGTAATACAGGACCCCTCCTTCAGAAAACTGGTACAAACTTCTCCAGAACCACATCTCCCAATCCACATCTTTTATGGACCTAGGTTCTAGGAGTAGCAGAGGCAGGTCTCATTCATAAGCAGGCCAGTGCACACTTGGTTACCTGGGCCAAACACTGTCCAAAATAGGTATAGAAAGCCTCTGCAGACAACTGACTGAATGAAAAAGAGGCCAGGAGTCAACAGCAGGGCATAGGCAACACACAGGAGGCACTTCCTAAAGCACTGGCCCTGGGGAACAGGAGACACTGTACTGGAGAGCACTGAATTTCCTAATGCAGAGAAACAGATACAGAGTTAGACAAAATGAGGAAACAGAAGAATATTTCCCAAATGAAAGAATAGGACCAAATCATAGCAAAAGGCCTGAGTGAAATGGATATAAGTAATACATGTAAGAGAATTAAAGTAATAATCATAAAGATACTCACTGGACTTGACAAAATATTTGGGGACATCAGTGAATTCCTTAACAAAGAGATAACCAATCAGAGAGGAAAACACAATAAATGAAACTAAAAGTACAGTAGATGGAATAAAGAGCAGGCTAGAAGGAGGAGGAGAAAGGAAGAGGAAAATTTATTTAAAGATATACTATAAAGATATACTAGTTGAGGGATCCCTGGGTGGCTCAGCAGTTTCGTGCCTGCCTTTGGCCCAGGGAGCGGTCCTGGAGTCCCAGGATCGAGTCCCGCGTCAGACTCCTGGCATGGAGCCTGCTTCTCCCTCTGCCTATGTCTCTGCCTCTCTCTCTATCTTAAATAAATAAAAATTTAAAAAAAAAAAAGGAGTACACTTTTCACGATGAGCACTGGGTGTTGTACAGAATTGCTGAATCATCACATTGTACTCCTGAAACTAATATAATGCTGTATGTCAGCTGTACTGAAATTAAAAACAAAAAAGCAAAAAAAATACTTTGAAGTATATACATGTCTATGTGACTGTTTACTAACATTCATGCATATCTCTATACATATGTGAATAGCAACTATATACAATAGCATTTTCCATTTTAGTATGAATTCCAGTATGAGATCCACCTTACCTTTCTGTTTAATTACTAAGGCACCCAAACTGATTTCAAATATGGCTTCAGCTATTTTAGACAGATAGAATGGAAATCAGAAATCCAAATCAAGAACAATATTCTCTCTAAAGAGGCAGCATAACAGTTATTAAGAACGTGGACTTTAGGGACGCCTGGTGGCTCAGCGGATAAGCACCTGCCTTTGGCTCAGGGCGTGATCCTGGAGTCCTGGGATCGAGTCCCACATTGGGCTCCCTGTGAGGTGCCTGCTTCTCTCTCTGCCTGTATCCTTATCTCTGCCTCTCTCTGTCTCTCTTATGAATGAATAAAAAAAATCTTAAAAAAAATAAATAACGTGGACTTTAGAGTTAGAATTACTGTGTTAAATGAATCATTATTTAAGGAGTAACTGAGTCAATAATCATAAAGCGCTTCAAACATACCTGGCACACACAATTTTTGCTATGTAATGTTTATTTAAAAAAATCAATTAAACAAGAAATATTTTTTCATTAATAACAGATATTTAGTCCCCTTCATAGGTAATCTGACTCAAACTCTATTTTGCTATATAGAGAGCATCTTAGCTGAGAATTTAGATACTAACAAAACTAAAATCACATTTTTTTTTTAAATGTTGGAACTGTTCAGAACCTCTTCCACCCTTGATGTCAGACATTTCTCTGAAAATACTGGCATTTTTACTCACAGTCTAATTTTTTTATTCTGCACAAATGGCTATGAGAGGCCCCCGTCACGTCCCCATCTCTCATAAGACTTTCCCCCATCAAATGAAAGTCTCTTTGCTGGATGAAAGTCTTCTGCATTCTATCAGTTCCTGCCTCATTTCCTTTCCTTTGGTCTTCACAGTTTCCCACAGCTAAGTCCCCTGACTTATTGACTTGAAAGCTTAGCCCTGGAATAGACTGAGTTGGTATTCAGCACTCCAGCAATTTTGGCCTGCCCCAAGCAACAACTCAGTGTTCTGATGAAAAACTTCCTAAATTTGAGGTTCCAAGTTTTATGTGTGCCCAATTTGCAGATATAGGCTTTTCTCTTGGTGTTTATGCCAAGTTTTAAATCAGTATGTACAACTAAACTAGTTTAATCCTAGGATGGAAACTCAGTCTTTCCCCAGCCTATCTGTAAATTGTTGCAGCTTGGCTGACTATGAAAAGATCCCCCAGATATTTCCCTAGGTTCCAAGTATTCACCTGCATAAGATTTCCCACTGCAGTGTGATGCCTGCATTTCAAACAGCATTTCACCTTGGCTCCCCTGTTGCCAATGACTTGCAAAAAACAACCAGACTATTACATCCCTTGGACACTGGACTTCCACTGTTAGGCCCAACAAGTGTTACACAATATGGGTATCACCTGCTTCCTACTGTTGTTACCAGCTGTGAATAACCAGCTAAGTGCTACTGAATACTAAGAGACCAATTTTTCCCCCTATTTGCCCAGTTAAAATTGCGCTAATTTCTGTTACCACTGCTATCAGTGTAACAACTAACACTTTTTATCCTTTACTTTGCATTTGACAATGTCTTCGAGCTGTATCAATGTTAAATCAACCTTTTTCCATCTTGTTCTCCCAAAGTCTCTATTCATGCCTCTTCTAAAATTTTTTCTTCAAAAAGGAAATCTTTTTTTTTTTTGCAATACCCCTATCATAGCTACTAATCCTTTTTTCATGCCACTCTAGATGTTACCTTATAATGTCTCATTGAGGGACTTTTCTGAAATACTCATAAATTGCTTACCACACAAACAGGAACCAGATTCTTTCACTAACAGAAATCAGATATCCAAATAAGTAGTGTTGTTCCTCAAAATAGTTATATATAGAAGACTCTTTAGCTATTCTAATGTTATGAGTGTTCAAAAACAGTTCTGGAATTCTTGAAAACTTGCCAGTTCCATACTTGCCAGTTCCATACCTTTGACCTTGTCCAATAAGACCAAACCTGTTACTTATAGTATTTGATCAAAGAGCAATGCTTGGCTAAATTACTATTTTCAAAAATTAAATTTACCTACAAAGGATGAAAAATTGCTATTACTAAAGAATTTTTAAAACTTTCTTACCCTCTGAAATTAATTGCAAAGTTTAAGACAAATGTAGAGAAAAAGCATCATAGGTAGACTACATAGAACACAACCTTTGTACAACCTTCCACAATTATCTCTAAGGTTCTTCCATAGATAAAACGAAGTAACAACTTTCCTATTCCTATTCCTACAGGTTATTGTAGAGATTAAAGAGAGAAAACATGACATCCCTGAAACCCATAAAGTGAATAAAGATCAGATATTTATGTTCATGCCTTAATGCTGCAAATAGAAAAATAAAAAAAAGAAAAAGAAAAAGTGAGGTAAGACAGAGAAAGACAAAGACCATATGATTTCACTCCTTTGTGGAATTTAAGAAATTAAATTAAGAAATTTAAGAAACAAATTTAATTTAAGAAATTTAATTTAAGAAAGAAATTTAAGAAACAAATGAACATGGGGAGAAAAAAGAAAGGCAAAACAAGAAAAAGACTCAACTATAGAGAACAAACTGAGGGTTGCTGGAGGAGAGGTGGGCAGGGACAGGGGATAAATAGGTAATGGGGATTAAGTAGAGCACTTGTGATGAGCACTGGATGTTGTATGAAAGTAATGAATCACTCAATTTTACACCTGAAACTGATATATTATAGTCTATGTTAACTATCTGGAATTTAAACAAAACCTTGAAAAGAAAAAAAAAAGAACTATTTAGGACTGATTTGAGGATTAAGTTTACATCTTTATTTTGCAGAAGGCCAAAGACAAGAATCAAAGTTTCACTTAAAAAGATTCATTAAATTTTTTTTCATTAAAAAAAAAACTTACATGGAATAAACTTCTGGTTTTCAAGAAATAGTTCATGTTTTGGAAAGTGAAACCTAACTCAGTGAAAAAAAGGAGGTGGAGGGAAATTCCACAACTCAGAGTCACAATAAATACTAATAAACCCTTTGATTCTGCAACATGGGACTTCCCCAAGGAACAGACAGGTTTTGCTAAGTCAACTGTAATGTTATCCAATCAGAGGTAGAGAGGGAAAGTGCCTTTGCAAATAAATACTGCATCCTAAGCCCACACTTTCTGAGACACTCAACTGCTTAGACTTTCTGAGCCTACTGCAGAGGAACCTCCAGTCACAGCATCATGAACCAAAGTGCTGTTCTTATTTTTTGTCTTATCTTCCTGACTCTGAATGGAACTCAAGGTAAGGAGCATGAAGGGATATTTAGTTTGTAAGGTCAGAAATAAGGCTCGGTATAAATTCTATAATTACAGGAATAGTGTATTTGCAAAGGTTTCATAGCCTATCTATAAATGAAGGGTAAATAAGCAGAGATTCTCTCTGGCCACAGATATACAGTCAGAATAGCAAATGGAATAAAGGAGAGAAGAAAGAAGAAAAGAGGAAGGGTAACAGGATAGACTATATATATATATACATATATATATATGTATATGGGAATAAGGAAAGAGAGAATGAGACAAATACTTCCTTAGTTAACTCAGCTTAATTAACCATATGAATTGGGCCTCAAGGGTATGAATTTAGATTTCATAAACCGCAATTCCTTTCTTTCAAATAATCAACTAATTAATCATTAAGAGCTGTGTTATAATGGGAATCTTTCTTGACTTATTCAAATGACATGGGGATATTGGTTCTGCTTAGTAGGAGACAATCCACATTATATGCCTAAAATGAAAACTGCACTAACCTTCCTGATGTACCTGTCCCTTTTTCCCACAGGAATACTTCTCTCTAGAACTATACGCTGTACCTGTATCAAGATTAGTGATCAACCTGTAAATCTAAGGTCCTTAGAAAAAATTGAAATGATTCCTGCAAGTCCATCGTGTCCACATGTTGAGATCATGTGAGTAAAATGCCATCTGAATATCACTTCCCTAGTTGTAATCATATATTAAATATGTGACTATGATCACAAAATCAGTAAAGGGCTTGTAATGATTCTAAGACTTTTGTATAACAAAAGGAACATCTAGACTGAAACCTAAATGTCTGGCCTAAAATCTGTATACTCTGTTTTATTGGTCCAAAACTGTTTTATGTATTTTCACTCTTACTTACTTCTACAGTGCCACAATGAAAAAGAGTGGGGAGAAAAGATGTCTGAATCCAGAATCTAAGACCATCAAGAGTTTAGTGAAAGCAATCAGCAAGAAAAGGTAGGTTTGCGGCACTTTGCAGAAGAACTGCTCTTTAAGAAATGTCAATTTTGGGAAGTCAGAAATATTTGCACTGAGTTTTCCTGTGGGATTCTTGGCTTGAAAGGGTGTTTACCACCAAGCCTGCCTCTACCTCTATTTATTTGTAAACTGAGATGTCATCTCCTGTAGTATCAAAAGTTACCCTACCTGTCTAGAAGTGTCAACCTTGAGGCAGAGCTTTAACTATTCAAGCAAAGCTACCAAATTTCCCCCAAGCCTTTCCTGGGCTTAAAAAAGCAGCCCCTATAATCCACAATGACCATTTAGCAGCAGGAAATCTGACCACTTTGCCTAGGGACTTGGGGTTATCTATGAAATCAGAATGTTCCCAGCAGAACCCAGGCTGAAGCCATAGTTGAGTATATCACACTTTCACACTTCCTTTCTCTCTCTTTTTTTGTTTTTTTTTACAGGTCTAGAAGATCTCCTTGAACACAGATGCGTAATCACCATAGTACTGATAAAGATGGACCAGAAAGAGACTACCTCTGCCATCATTTCCCTGTATACAATACATGCAAGCCCTAATTGTCCCTGGATTACAGTTCTCCTAAAAGGTGACCAATCACCATCACCAAATTAGCTGCTACTACTCTTTGAGGGAGGTGAACCGTTGGTTCATCGCTCTGCCCTGCCAGTATAAGCCAGTATAAGCTATGCTGAGGTGCTACATTTTTAGTGAATGTACCAGATCCTAGCCCTACTACTGACACTTTCCTCACCTTTGCTATCTTGTAAATGTTAAAAGGCACATTTCCACCTCTGAGCTTATCAGAGTTCTCAGAACTTCTAAAAATAGTCATAATGCTTTTTTAATTAAAAAAAAATCTTTACTTCATAGGCTTCTACTGCTATCCTCCCAAGGGGCCCATATTCTTTCAGTGGTTATATGTACACAACTCCAAATACAAAGAAGAGCCTAAAGAAATCTGGAAATGTATTTGAAAATATTATTACTTAATAAAAACCTACACAAAGTAGAATTCTTAGATGTACATGTTTCCTACTTGTTTTCAGTGTTTATGGAGTAACTTGTGTAAGTACCATACATGAATGTGCAATGAAAAAAATTTAAATCTAGATATGTAATCTGCATGTTATGTAAGATAGATATTCTGGATGTGTTTCAAAATAAAAATGCTGTGCTCTCTTGGAAATGTTTTTGTTTTTGTTTTTTTTTTTTGTTTTTTTTTCTTGGAAATGTTAAGAAAGATTATATAACAGTCAACATCAAAAATTAATAAAACAATGACTAAGACAAAGCAATCTAGTGGGTCATTTGAATGCGACATGTATTTCATAAAAGAATCCAATAGGTAGAAAACAAATGAGTTTGAAAATTATCATATTCCTTCCAACTGCAGTATTCTGAAAGGCCCATCATACAAGACTCCTTCAGAACTGATATGGCCTAACAGACTTCGCCTAAGCTTCAGACCCTTATATGCAAATGTCTACAAGACATCTCCCCCTGAATATTCCACAGAAACATCAAACTCCAAAATATCTCAAATTCCCCTCTCCCCCAGATCTAGTTCTCCTCCTCTATTCGATGGTCTAGTTTAACAGCACTAGCATCCACTTACTTCCCCAAACCAGAAACCTGGGATAATTCTACATTCCTTCTCCCTCACCTCCCATAGCCAATTAGTCATTAAGGAAATATTTGCAATGCATTTATAGTTGGCAAATTAGTAGCATCTACAATATATAAAGAATTCCTATGAATGATATAGGAAAAGACAGACAACTAAATGAAAAATGGAAAACAGAAATAAATGAATAAGAATTACACAGAAAAAATGCATGCTGCACAAGCTGAATATAAAAAGTATTCAACATCACTAATAATCAGGGACATCTACATTCAAATCATATTGGGATACCATCTGATACCACCAAACTGGCAAAATTCTTTAAGCTGGATAACTACAAGTGATAAGAAGGTTGTAAAGCAATGAGGAATACCCCTCTACTGCTGGTGGAGGAAGGAAAGGAGAGGAAACAGCTTTAACTGCTTTGAAACCAACTTGGTATTCTTACAAAATTTAACATGTGCACACTCTATGTCTAAGCAGTACTACTACTATGTATACACCATAGATAAATTCTTGCATATGACATATATCAGAGAATGTTTTAGCAATATTGTTTATAACAGCAAAACTCTGGACACAATCCAAATGTCCACAAAGAGAATGGGTAAGTAAATTATGGTATCTTAATTCCATGAAATATTATACAACAGTGGAAATAAATAAAAATAACTATGTACATCAACAGGGATGAATCTCAAAAATAGTCTTGCACAAAAGAAGCATGCCACAGAAAGTATATGCAGCATAGTTCTCTTTACTATGAAATTTTAAAACAGATAAAAAAAAAACCTGGATTTAGGAGTGAAGACATACATAAATATATATAATGAAAACAATCAAAACTGAAGGAATGACTTCCATAAAATTCAAGATGGCAATTACTTCAGAAGGCTAGAAAGGAATGCAGTCAGGGAGGGGCACATAAGAGGCTTCTGAATTATGGTAAAGTTCTATTTTTGAATAGATGGCAAGCCTTAGGTGGCGAGTACATGAGAATTTGTTCTTTAATCTGTATCTACAAATTTTAATTTTTCTGAATACATGAAAGGCCACAAATGGAAATTAAACAACATGCTACCAAGGAATGGGTCAACCAAGTAATCCAAAAAGAAATTTAAAAATACATGGTGACAAATGAAAATACAACAGTGCAAAATCTTTTAGATGCAGCAAAAGTGGTCCTAAGAAGAAAGGATATAGCAATATAGGCCCTACCTCAAGAAGAAAAACTTCAAATAAACAGCCTAATCTTAAACCTAAAGGAGCTGGAAAAAGAACAACAAATGAAGCTTAGAATCAGTAAAAGAAATAATAAACAGTAAAGCAGAAATAATGATATAAGAATTTAAAAAACAAATAATAGATCAATGAAACGAGCTGATTCTCTGAAAAAAATAAATAAAATTGATAAATCTCTAACCAGACTCATCAAAAAGAAAAGAGAAAGGACCCAAATAAACAAAATCACAAATGAGAAAGGAAAAATGACCAACACCACAGAAATTACAAATGATTATTTGTTTGTGTTTTTTTTTAAATTTTTATTTATTTATGATAGTCACAGAGAGAGAGAGAGAGAGGCAGAGACACAGGCAGAGGGAGAAGCAGGCTCCATGCACCGGGAGCCCGATGTGGGATTTGATCCCGGGTCTCCAGGATCGCGCCCCGGGCCAAAGGCAGGCGCTAAACTGCTGCGCCACCCAGGGATCCCACAAATGATTATTAATAAAGTATTATGAAAAACTGTATGCCAACAAATTGGACAACGTAGGAAAAAATGGATAATTACCTAGAAACGCATAAACTATCAAAACTGAAACAGGAAGAAACAGAAACCTTGAACAAACCCATAACCTGCAAAGAAACTGAATGAGTAATCAAAATCTCCCAACGAAAGTCCAAGACCAGACAGCTTTATAGGCAAACTCTACAAAACACATGCAGAAAAATATAGACCTATTTTTCTCAAACTATCCCAAAAACTAGAAAACAAAGAAAAACTTCCAAAATCACTCTGTAAGGACAGGAATATCCTGATTCCAAAATCAGAGAAACACATCACTAAAAAAGAGAACTACAGGCCAATATCCTGATGAACACAGATGCAAAAATTCTTAATACAAGCAAACTGAATTCAACAACAGATTACAAAAATCATTCAATGCCATCAAGTGGGTTTTGTTCCTAGGTTGCAAGGGTGGTTCAATATTTACATATCAATCAGGGTGCTTGGGTGGCTCAGTTGGTTAAGGTTAAGCGATTAGGCATCTGGCATCTGGCATCTGATTCTTTTTTGATTATTATTATTTTTATTTTTTTATTGGAGTTCAATTTGCCAATAAATAGCATATCACCCAGTGCTCATCGTGTCAAGTGCCCCCCTCAGGGCCCGTCACCCAGTCACCCCAACCCCCCCCCCCACTTCCCTTTCAACTACCCCTTTTTCGTTTCTCAGAGTTAGGAGTCTCTCATGTTCAGTCATCCTCAATGATATTTTCACTCATTTTTCTCCTTTCCCCTTTATTCCCTTTCACTATTTTTTATATCCCCAAATGAATGAGAACATATAATGTTTGTCCTTCTCCAACTGACTTATTTCACTCAGCATAATACCCTTCAGTTCCATCCACGTTGAAGCAAATGGTGGGTATTTGTCATTTCTAATGGCTGAGTAATATTCCATTGTATACATAGACCACATCTTCTTTATCCATTCATCTTTCGATGGACACTGAGGCTCCTTCCATAGTTTGGCTATTGTGGACACTGCTGCTATAAACATTGGGGTGCAGGTGTTCTGGCATTTCACTGCATCAGTATTGTTGCGGTAAATCCCCAGCAGTGCAATTGAAACAATACCTATTCTACTAAAGCTGTTTCAAAAGATAGAAAGAGATGGAATACTTCCAAACTCGTTCTATGAGGCCAGCATCACCTTAATTCCAAAACCAGACAAAGACCCACCAAAAAGGATAATTATAGACCAATATCCCTGATGAACACAGATGCAAAAATTCTCACCAAGATAGTAGCCAATAGGATCCAACAGTACATTAAGATTATTCACCATGACCGAGTGGTATTTATTCCCAGGAGGCAAGGCTGGTTCAACACTCGTAAAGCAATCAGTGTGATAGATCATATCAACAAGAGAAAAAACAAGAACCATATGATCCTCTCAACAGATGCAGAGAAAGCATTTGACAAAATACAGCATCCATTCCTGATCAAAACTCTTCAAAGTGTAGGGACAGAGGGAACATTCCTCAACATCTTAAAAGCCATCTACGAAAAGCCCAAGGCAAATATCATTCTCAATGGGGAAAACACTGGGAGCCTTTCCCCTAAGATCAGGAACACGACAGGGATGTCCACTCTCACCACTGCTATTCAACAAAGTACTGGAAGTCCTAGCCTCAGCAATCAGGCAACAAAAAGACATTAAAGGCATTCAAATTGGCAAAGAAGAAGTCAAACTCTCCCTCTTCGCCGATGACATGATACTCTACATAGAAAACCCAAAAGACTCCACCCCAAAATTGCTAGAACTCACACAGCAATTTGGCAGTGTGGCAAGATACAAAATCAATGCCAGAAATCAGTGGCGTTTGTATACACTAACAATGAGACTGAAGAAAGAGAAATTAAGGAGTCAATCCCATTTACAATTGCACCCCAAAGCATAAGATGCCTAGGAATAAACCTAACCAAAGAGGTAAAGGATCTATACCCTAAGAACTACAGAACACTTCTGAAAGAAACTGAGGAAGACACAAAGAGATGGAAAAATATTCCATGCTCATGGATTGGAAGAATTAATATTGTGAAAATGTCAATGCTACCCAGGGAAATTTACACGTTTAATGCAATCCCTATCAAAATACCATGGACTTTCTTCAGAGAGTTGGAACAAATCATCTTGAGATTTGTGTGGAATCAGAAAAGACCCCAAACAGCCAGTGGAATATTAAAAAAGAAAACCAGAGCCAGGGGCATCACAATGCCAGATTTCAGGTTGTACTACAAAGCTGTGATCATCAAGACAGTGTGGTACTGGCACAAAAACAGACACATAGATCAATGGAACAGAATAGAGAACCCAGAAATGGCCCCTCAACTCTATGGTCAACTAATATTCGACAAAGCAGGAAAGTCTATCCACTGGAAAAAAGACAGTCTCTTCAATAAATGGTGCTGGGAAAATTGGACAGCCACATCAGAAGAATGAAACTAGACCATTCTCTTACACTATACACAAAGATAGATTTAAAATGGATGAAAGATCTAAATGTGAGATAAAAATCCATCAAAATCCTAGAGGAGAACACAGGCAACAGCCTTTTTGAATTTGGCCACAGCAACTTCTTGCAAGATACATCTATGAAGGCAAGGGAAACAAAAGCAAAAATGAATTATTGGGACTTAAGATAAAAAGCTTCTGCAAAGAAAAAGAAATAGTCAACAAAACTAAAAGACAACCTACAGAACAGGAGAAGACATTTGCAAATGACATATCAGATAAAGGGCTAGTATCCAAGATCTAGAAAGAACCTATTAAA